ACTCCAGCTTAGGGAAGGTGTCTCTCCCGATGTTATAGTCAGGTGACTTTGGTGGCTCTACAGAAACAGAGTCAGATTTCCCAACTACTTGTGTGCCCTGGTCTTGTGTGTTCTCTGTATTTCAGCCCTTTCATGTTCCCTTCACACATACCCCTGCATGTATGTTCTCTGGTCATGCCAATGTTCCCCTTTAGTGATGTGGTAGCCTGTGTCAGAGTGCACTTCCTGTGTATACTGGAGCAGTGGCTGTTTCTTGTTATTTATTTTGCTATATGCAAAATAAATAACAAATAACTTTTGTTTTGAACTAGTATGTCTTTTTGTTGGCCTAATAAAGGTAAAACATTGGTGGTGGTTTATTGAGTGAAGATTTTCAATGGAGGCTGTCCATCTGTCCAGGTGCCAGGGCTGGAGGTAGCTTTCTTTGTGAGGGGAGCTCAGAGTGCTATAAATATTTAAATAAATGAAATTCTTTGATTTTTCCTTTTTAATTTCTCACAGTATCTATTTTAGTGCCTGGCAAACAGTGGGTGATCTATCATTGACTAACTAAAATTCATTAAAAAAAAAGTCAAACAGATTTTTTTATTCTTCTTAAAAGATGGGATATGCTAAGTTGTTTTTATTCTGAAAAAAAAAAAAACCCAAAACAGTGACAAAGTGCTGACCCTAAAGCATTTTGTCCTATGTAGTATAATACAGAATAATAGGCAGGATGGGGAAGACAGCTATTTTCTCTCTAATACTAACTCTATGCGTGACTGGCATCTCATATGTCTGATACCCTTCCTGGAAACAATTATTGTCTTGATTATCATTATACTGGGCATTTCATGGGCTTGTATATCACTCAATGTGCTTGTTTTTCCCTTTAAATCTATTTTAATTTAGCTTTTCAGACACATCCACAGAGGTAAAGGAAGTACCTCCATTCCTTCCTCCCTTTAAGCTCCCAAATAAGCTTTTAAATGTGGTGTTCCACTTTCCTATGTCACTTGTGCTTGCTTATTTACTTTATTCAGGTCTGAAATTGCAAACAGATTCAAAAAGAGAATCCTGAATGCAATTTTATATGTAAATAGCCTTCTGTGAAGTTCCTATTTACAGTTTTGCTTCCTCAATATTTCATAATATGAGAAACTCCTCTGCCTCACAGCCCCCCAAAATTGCTTCTGGCTTCTAGGCTGCATGCTCCAGGAGCCAGTGACCACAAATTCAGACTTTACGTGGCTTTCATCCTGTCCGGTCCTACATCCAGGTGTTTAGCAATAGAGTATTTTAACAAATGGCACATTTGTGCTAATAAAATTATTCAGTTGTCCTGTATGTGTTTTCCAACCTGTCAACAGTCTAGTTTGAGGGTCAATAACCTTTAAAAAATGGCATGAATGAAAAAAGCATTTTTTAAGTGCTTACTATGTGCCAGACACTATTTTTAAGCACTGGGGGATACAAATACAAGCAAGCAAAACAGACTTTGCCTTCAAGGAAGTTTACGTTCTAATAGGAGAAGATAAATACATGTAGGAAATGAGAGTATTTGTGTTGAGAAGGGAGTGTTTTGGAGCACAGGAAAGTCAGAAGGAATGGTAATTGATTGGCATATTGTCACAGGGTAATTGATTGAAATGTTCTTATTAAGAATGGTGGCACTGATTAGCCTTTGCTTTGGGTACAGAAGGCAGGGTGTGTAGTAGTGAGGAAATTAATATCACTGAGTAGAAAGCATATGGGGTAGGGTAATTGAGGAAATGTGTGACAATGGGTTCCTATATTGAACTGAACTATATTGGATATAATGGGTTCTTTGGTTAGTCTAGAACAGGGGTGGGGAACTTGTGGCCTCGAAGCCCCATGTGGCCCTCTAGGTCCTCAAGTATGGCCCTTTGACTAAATCCAAACTTCACAGAACAAATCCCCTTAATAAAAAGATTTGTTCTGTAAAACTTGGATTTAGTCAAAAGGCGGCACCCAAGGACCTCGAGGCTGCAGGGTCCCCAACCCTGGTCTAGAAGAAGTAAGACATTGGTGGGCATCGATGAGCTAAAGTTTTGAGTGGAAGTTGTTCATCCATCCAGGGCCCTGAACCCCATCCTCTTATGAGCGGACAGAAGCAACTATCTCTTAAGCTTGTAGCTGCTCTCAAATGGACTGAAGGGTCAGCTGTGCCCAGGCCAGAGAAAAATGGCCACTGCTGTATTTGGAGTAGGTACCCAAGGGGGTAGTTGCTTCTTAGTCTAATTAGCATCCAGTGGTATCTCCTGCCTTAATATTTTTTCAAAACTGGTTGGGGGGGGGCTGAGTGAAGTAAACTTTTTATGGGCAATATTAATTTATTTGAATGTTATAATATGTAAATATATACAGTTTAAAAATTATCTCTGTGAGGGGTAAACAATCTTACATGAAGAACACAGGCTTTTGTGGTATGCTATTTCACTGGAAAAGCATGTTTAGATTTAAGTTGTTTTTGTTTGTTGTGGTGTTTTTTTTAAGCATCACTTCTATGTCATGGGGTCAAATAAGATAATAAGGCAGTTAGGTGGCGTGATGAATAGAGTCCTGTATTTGTAGTCAGGAAGACCTGAGTTTGAATCCTTCCTCAATCATTTGCCAACTATTTGACCTTGGGGCAAGTCATTTAACTTCTCCCAGTCTCACTTTCTTCTTCTGTAAAATGGGGATAATAATAGCATCTATTTTACAGGGGTCAAATGTGAGGTCAAATGAGATAATGTAGGCAAAGTGCTTTGCAACCCTTGAAGTGTTATGTGAGCAATGGATATCATCTTCATCATCAGTCATCATCATCATCATCACTATATTTGTAAAGTCCTACACCCATATGGTATTAATAATAATTTAAAATTGACTGTACTGGCTAATGTACCCAGTGAGATTAACTGCCCTTAGCTACTGCCTGATTAGCAGTAGCTATCTAATTACACAGCCTAATTACAAGTTTTGAAGCCATGGAAAGCAGATTTTTACCACAGGGAAAAAAATGAAGTTTTGGGGAAAAGTTATAGTCATAGAATATTAGGTACCTTACCAATTATGTAGTCTAATATCCTCAGCAGCTAAGTAGTGCAGGTATTTGAACGATGGACCTGGAGACAGGAGGATCTGAGTTCAAATTCAGCCTCAGACACTTTTTAATTATGTGACCCTGGGCAAATCACTTAATCTCTGTCTTCCTCAGTTTCCTGAACTGTAAAATGAGGATAATACTAGCACCTACTTTAGAAGATTATTGTGAGGATCAAATGAGATAATGTTTGTAAAGTTTTTGGCACATTGTAGGCACTTAATAAATACTTGTTTTCTTCCTTCCTTCCTTCCTTCCTTCCTTCCTTCCTTCCTTCCTTCCTTCCTTCCTTCCTTCCTTCCTCCCTTCCTCCTTCCCTCCCTTTCTTCCTCATTTTTAAGGCAAAAATACTGCAAGCAAAGAGGTTACCTAACAAATTAGTGATAGCTGTGGTACTGGAACCCCAGTGTCTCCTCTCTTTCCCCTCCCCCTCAGATTCAATGTACTTTTTGCTAAAAGAATTGAAATTTTTGCAGTTCTTCTTTGTTATAGTACCTTTGACAGATTGCAAATTACTTTGTTCATTTATTTATTGTGCATAATTTGGCTTGCACATAAAATCATCATGTTTGGTATATTAAATTTAAAAGCATAATTTGTTCTTTTAACGTATCTACCAATTTAATCTGCTTACAAATGATTTAGATTTTCATTACAAGTAGAATTACAAACTACTCAACTTTTAAAAATCCAGTACCTTTAAATTTTCTCTTTCTCCAGTTAATGAGAAACAGGAAAAAACCTGGAAGAAATAATAGAGTAACAACAGTTTTTAAAGTTATTTTCTTTGGATTTTGTGCCTTTCCTAGTGCCAAGCAAAAGTATTTTTTTAAGTCATCAAGGAAAGATGGGAAAATCCCCCAAATAATTGAATACATCTTTTGCCACTTAGGAAGTTGCTTAATCATTCTCTGTTTTTGAGCTACGACTGTTAGTGGTTTCGACTTTTTCTGTTGCTTCATTTTTAAAAATTAGTGTTATGGATGGATTCTATTACCTATTGTTATTCTGATTCTCAAAAAAGGCTTTTTCAAAGAATGTCTACTGGACAAATGGTGTGATGGTAGGAAGTAATTAAGCTACTTCCTGCTTATTTGCGTTTTCAGTTATTGAAAGTGGCATTCCAGTAGAATACATAGGCTGCCCTTTCTGAAAGTTGGTCTATTCTTTTTTTTTTTTAAAATTTGAAATGTGGATTTATTAGCGCACGGCTGCAGGGGGTACATACCTAAATCGAGCAGCCCCGGTAAGGGGCAGAGCTTGAGTTTATAAAGGCAGAGGCCACTGAGGAAACGGTCAGGGGTTGCGTAAGCGGGAAGTTACAGAAGCCAAACAAACGATTGGTTAATCCTGCCTTTGGGACCCTATAAGGATCATGGAATAAGATTGGGGCGGGTATCTTTCTTGTCGGGTTTTCTAAGGCGAGAACTCCTAAGGCGGGAACTCCCTGAAGAAGGGCATACAAGGTGGAGGTCAGAAAACAAAATGGAGTTCAGCACATGGAGTTCAGTACTTCATTCCCCACTTCTTTTGTGTACCACATCAAGCCCTTGACATGGCAGGGGCTGCATCATTGTAGGGTGAAAAGGAGGTGGATGCCAGGGGCTGATAGAGCTTTAACACTTGGCACCTTTCACATTAAATCTGAATTCAAATTCTTCTCAGCTTTCTTTTCCTCTCTATCACCCCTTTAAGTAAATATAGGCATTGACAAATCAAAGGGGCAGCCCCTTCATAATACAGATACAGAGACGCTAAAGAAAACAATAATGCAATTGTCCCTTTAAGATTCAAAAAGTCTTTTCTTATACAGCTGTCTGGCAGGGAACATCATCAGTGAAGTCCTCTGGTCCTTGGTATTCGTTCCAGCCATCTCCAGCACAGCATCTCAGCATCTGCTTCTTATCTTCTTGTAGGAACCAGCTTTCTGTCCATTCTCCTACAAAAGTGATCTTAGCACAATTTTAAATTAGTATTTCTAATCCTTATAACCCTGATCATTTTTACCAACTTAAAATTGAAATTATTGCCAATTGTCATGTTCAAGAAATTCACATCAGAACTCAGTGTCTCACACTTTACATTAATCCACAGGCTCCAGTACATACATAGATATATTAAATAATCCATTTTAACACAGTACATATAAGATCTTAAACTTTCAGTCATGCCATGTTTCTCTGATGACATTTACAAAATAAACCACAAGCCATTCTCCTTTTAACATTATTAATTGTAACAAAGCTTTAAACAAGTATGATATTATCCAAATAACAAAATAACATTCTCAACCCCCCGACCTAATTGTAAAGAAGCCTAACTCATATGGGAACACACACAGGAACACTAGTCTCAGTTCTATAGCAGCCTAAGATGTTCATAATCTCATATGGCCTAAGGAACATCTCTAAATGAGCCCTAGATAGCTTGCATGCATTTCCACTCTTGTTCATAAAACCTTACTAAATTGGTGTAAAAGTTCTTAAATGACACAAATTCCAGAGTATTATTAAGGAAACTGAATTCCTAGTTATCACAGAATTCCTCATAAGTCTTTAGTTAAAAGCACATAGAGGTGGTTCAGTTTTCCTGGTCATACAGGACTAGGTCCAAACAATACAACAAAGTTTTCTTATAATTCAAAAAATTGCATAATTACATTAAGTCAGGTACAGATTAAACTGATCAGAGAGCTCACAATAGACTAGTTTTTAGAAGAGAGACTTACATGTAATCAAGATAACAAAGAAAACCTTAGACATGAACCATACAAATCAATACAATCAGTATTACCAATGTTAACTAACATTAAGTTCCTTGCTCATGTACAATAGGTTTAATTTATAGGCAGTTCAAAAAGAGAGCTCTGCTTCTCTGGCTTAGTGTAAAAACCCAAATCTGTCATCTTTTTACCTAACCATGCCTAAAGCTTGGATTTCCATGACAGATACATTTTGGAAGCCAATCATATACATCTGTATATAATTCTTAGAGGAATCAGTCTAATCCTGTTGCTTTTCTCAAAATTTGCTATCCTATTTAATTAGACATCACATTACACCTTTGTAAGTTAAAATTGTAAGCTATTCATACTTGCATCGTATTATGATATCTCAGAAATGTTCCAGAGGGACAAGGTCATATATCATATCAGAAGGAAAGCTCTGTTTGATTCCAGGCCGGAGTCATATCTGATAGCCAATCATGCAGTCACTGGATGTTAAAAGCGGGGCTTAGGATTAATCAGGTGGGAATTTTCCTTTTCAGAAAGGAAATAGCACAATAGTCAGGAAAATCCTACCTAGGCTGTGTCCAAGGTCGTCCTCAAAACTCCTCCCAGGCACAGACATCTACCTTTATCAGTTCTCAGCCTGCAGCACATGCCATTCTACTATTGGCTTCATGACAACTCAGACAATTATCCTGGTAATCAAAACTCAAAACAATAGTAAATTTCTGTCCCATAAAATCACAAATCCTAGATAATAAGAATTTAATCTCACATTGGTAATAGTAACAGACTGATCACAGAAAAATACTACTGCCCTCATAATTCCTTTAAACAATGGGAACATCTTGAGGTGAGTATAATCATTTAAGATCAATTGAACCCCAATAAGGGCCAAAAACTCGAACTAAAATTTTTCAAGTGAACTAAGAACATCCCTTTCCAGGACCAGGTGGAGCTGGCCAGCATTCTTTCCGATTGTCATCACTAAGCCCAGGATGTCTGGGACCAAACATTCTCCCGAACTTGGGACTTCTTTTATCGTGGTATCTTATGGACATAGACTATGCTATGTCATATTAATGGTAAAAGAAACACAGATATCTTGATCTATAATTTCAACTGACACTTTGACATCCTCCCGCTCTATTGAATTTACAACCATTCAATTGAGAAAATTTCCTTCCCATGCCACATGTCAAAACAAACATATGGAGGCTGCACCTTTTTTTTTCCTCTCTCTTGGGGCAGATGACTTTGCCCTCCCCCCAACAGATAGTTTCCAGGGATCCTGGCAAATTTACAAAATAAGGGGAATTGCCATGTGCCCCTCCTTTTCACACACAAGTAATCAATTAACAATCTTAGGTTTTGACATTAAAACAATAACCCCAAATAACTTAGTTAACAGTCTCACAAATTTTATGAATTATAACAAAACAATTTCAGCTAAAAATTCTCTTTCAATAAAGACAAAATTTGGAAATTTTATACTTTCTTAAATTACAATACTTAAAAGGAAATGTTACAAAACAGGATCATATAAAATGCCCCAACAGCCAAATTCATTCCTTTTTTCTCATTTCTCTGAAGACACAATTCATTTAACATTCTAGATGTTAAATCCCCCCATCACCCAACAAACCTGGTGGTTAGCCTTATAAAAAAGGAACCTAACAATCTTTAGCTTATATATAAAAAATTGCTTTTCCCTTCTCTCTTTGTCTCGACACTCAAATTTGGCCAGAATTAGAATGCAGAGTGAAAGAGAAATTATTATATTATTTTTCAAAGGTTTCAAAACCTTCTTACTTTCAAAAACCCTCTATTCATACTATGCAAATAAATTACACCTTCTTTAAGCTTTCTACATGTACTCCTCTCCCCTACAAGCTTAAACCTTCCTGACTTTCTAATGGACTTTGATTAAAGTCCTCTTTAAAACTGCACATATCTTATCACTTTCTAACTCGGACCTGACACTTCGAAAATATGTGCTTCCTTAAAATGGAGCAACATACAACCCAAAGGGGTTTTGGATGTGCTAGCCGAACCCCCCATTATCGCAGAGCACAGATACAAACAACAATAAAAGCCTGAGCTCAAACATGTCCTCCCAATGGAAGTCTGAGAAACTACCCTGGAGAAACTCGTCAATGTTCCAGTCTGACACCTGTCTTTCAGTATGAAACAGAGGTGGCTTCCGGCAGATGATCGTGAAACACAACCTCTTAAAAGCACAGTCTCTACACATATAAACAAATAGATCAAAACAACTAAGACAGAAACCAGGAATCAAGAACCAGATACGGGTGTGGTCCCGACATCTCCAGGTGCCCAGGAGATTGAGGCGCTAAGAGCTACTGCCGAGTCCGGCACACGTTCTCCACCAGGAAATAGAATATGCAGACACTTACCTCCGGAGGTTTACCAGGTCCAGGATCCACGGGGGCCGAAATGAGGTACAGTCGGAGTTGGGGAGGGAAGGTATTTTCAGTTCTGAATTTCGGGGCCCTGGAACATCTTCAGGGGCCGGCTCCCCTAAAAGTCAGAACAGAGCAATTCCCCCTTCCTGAAGCCGAAGTCCTCCCCAGGTGGTTCTCTGCAGTGACACAGTACGCTGCAATCTTGCTGGGGCCTCCAAATGTTGTACAGAGAAATCAGTGAGCGAGACCCAGACATAATTTGAAATGTGGATTTATTAGTGCACGGCTGCAAGGGGTACATACCCAAATCGAGCAGCCGGTGTATTCTTTCTGAACTTCAGGATTTACCTTGTCTGTAAGTTACGTCACTGAGAATCTTCTTAAAATATTTGGATTCTTGATGGTATCATTAGGCAGCCCCTTGTGAGGATGCTGATAGGATAAACTAGTGGCAATTGGAGGACTATTGGATCATGAATGCTGGAAGGGACAACTTTCTCCATTGTGGTCTTTCTCACATCCCTAACAAGGATGCTTTTTATGTTAGGAAGACAATCTTTAAATGCAAGGGTGTGTTTGGTTGTATCATCTGTTCATTGATTCATTCAACAACCATTTATAGTGAGCCTCATTTGTGCAGCAAACTGTTAGCCCTGATCCCAGCAGCATCTGCAGAGGCTCATTTCATTGGGCAGTATTTACGAATATCCTTTTCCCCTGTCCTGAGGATAGCTTACAGTATGGAAGCACATTCACATATTAGAAGTTTGTTTCTTCATTTTGATGAGAGAGGGAAAAAAAAAAAGAAAATAGCTCAGTGGCCAATTTTCAAATTAACACTGTCAAAGAAACTGATCTAGATAGTCTACATGTAGTGGGGCTTTGTGTGTGCCCAGATCACCGAAGACAAGATGTTCATGTGGGAGATGCCAGGGACCTGTTTCTAGGAGAAGACATTCTGTCTTCTTCTACCACATGGGTGGGAATGGCCACTTTCTTTCGTACAGTTGGAACTGGTTCCAACTTTAAAACTACCTGACTGGAACATTATCTTGTTCTCTCTTTCCAGTGGTCTCCAGGGTAGTGTTCACCCAGAGTACAGATACCATGTATTAAGCTGGATGGAGTGAAGGGTCATCTCACTTCCCCTTTCTCCTAGGCCCTGTGGCCCTGAGAAATCAACTCAAGGTTTTGGTCTTTTGTTTGTCATCTTCAGCTCTATGTGCAGGGAGCAGAGTCTTTAGACCCAGCTGCTCTTGAGTTATGGGGACCTCAGAGCCTTGATTCAATCTGGATGCTTTTGACAGCCCTATAGGGAAGCCCCAAGAAGCTGGGGTTCAAGGAGTAGAGCTTGGTCACCTTTGTTCTTGGGATGTGGTGGGACTAAATGCTATATAGGAACTGAGTTAAATTGTAAATCTAATCCTTCTCCACATACACTTAGCAGGTATAAAGGGGAAACTGATTATGGTCCCTAGGTTTCTGGAGGGTAGAGGAGGGAAAATGTTTGTTCTTGCCTTACTTTTAAAGAAAATATTCCTTTGTAAAAGCTAATCTGAAAGCCAAGTGGTTAAATGGAACTGGGGTGCTAGGGACCTCTAAAAGGGAACACAGTCAGTAAGGGCTTGAGCCAATGACAGAGACTAGACATTCTGTCCTCCAAAAATTATTTTTACTGCTTCAGACACTTGACACTTACTAGCTGTGTGACCATGGGCAAGTCACTTAACACTGATTACCTCACCAAAAAGCAAAACAAAATTCTTTTTAGACCTGAGGACACAGGAGGAGTGTGAAATATAATATAGCTGGCCTCCAGGAAGCAGGAGCCAGAGTAGTAACTGTATATGTATAATGGTTAAAACCATAAACAGGGTGGAGTTGTTTATAAATTATTATGATTGTTTGCCAGCTACGTGGGGTGAAAATCTGAACTTGCTAATTGGGTAGTTGGGGAAAAGTATTTCTAAACAAGGTTACACTAACAAGAAACTAGAGAAAATAGAACCTTTTAGTCAAGGGCCTTCAAGCTAGGGAGTTTAAAATGGGAGTTAGAGACAAAATAGAGTTAGTGCTGTTAATATTCCTAAATACCACCAAATCTCAGCACCTAGTGCACACATATGTTACCAGAGAACATTGGATACATAAGAATTTAATGATGATTTATATTCTTTTAGTACTTGATGATATGTGGTATTTTCTCCTCACAAAGACATCAACCCTTCCACACTTCGGCAGATGGTCTGAGGAGTTGCTCTGGCCAAAATAGTCATCAACTCATGGCTGCTAATCTAGTGATGCTTCTTTAAACTTCAGCTAATCATTAGTAGTGCTCATATTTGGAGTTTTTCCAGCTTGGTAATGCCGGCCAGACACTGGGCACTGTCGGCACTGTCTTTGAGAGCACGGGGTCAACTCCATGCTGTAATTTGACTCTGGAGGAGGAATGTATTGCAGGATGGTTTGCACAGGACATGAAAACAAGCAAATGAAGCAGAAGTAGTGTTTAATATTCTCAATTCGGATATGTTTAAGCTCTTAACTTTCAGCATTTTTTGAGTATATTTTTGGCTCCTTTGGGATCTAAATTTTAGAGGCCTAGGAAGAGCCAGGTATTAAAAATCTCTTTCAGCTTCAACACCTTTAGAAGGATTGTTTCTCCTCTGTATAAGCTCTTTGTCACTAACTTCTGCAGAAATGAGTGGATATTACTCCTTGTGGCTGATCTGTTGCCAGCTCTTTGAGGCCTAGTCGGGAGAACAAGAACTCTTGCACCATCTTTGTTCTTAAGCTGGGATCCATGAAATACTTTTAAGATCTTATTACTTATTTATTTTAAACAAATTATGTAAAAAACCCTTATTTTTTGATAACTGTATTTCAATATAATTAATTTCTTTTATAAACCTGTGTGTTTTCTTTTATGCATTTAAAAACATAATTCTGAGAAGGGGCCTATAAGTTAGACAGTGAGTCAACAAACATCTATTTTTTTTAATTCTTAAAAATTTTTTAAAAATTTATTTATTTTTAGTTTTCAACATTTACTTCTGCAAGATTTTGAGTTCCAGATTTTCTCCCCATCTCATCCCTTCCCCCACCCCAAGATGGCATGCATTCTGAATACCCCTTCCTCTAATCTGCCCTCCCTTCTATCTCTCCCCCCTTCTCTTATCCCTTTCCTGTTCTATTTTCCTGTAGGGCAGGATAGATTTCTATACCCCATTGCCTGTATTTCTTATTTCCCAGTTGTATGTGAAAACAATTTTTTTAATATGTGTTTTTAAAACTTTGGGTTCCAGATTTTCTCCCTTCCTCCCTCCCCACCCACCCTCATTGAAAAGACAAGCAACTCGATACAGGTTATACATGTGTAGTCATGCAAAACACTTCCACAGTAGTCATTCAACAAGCATCTATTAAGCACTTATGTGTGCCAGGACTATGCTAAGTACTGGCATCCAAAGAAAGAAGTTCACATCTTAATGAGAGAGACAATACTAGACTGTTAAAAGAATCCAGGAAAATGGTTAAGAATCCCTCCTCTAGATCCAAAGTCAATATAAGAAAGTGTAAAGGGAAGACTAGACAATGGAAATCTATTGGCCAGGCCCAGGAACATGTGCAGGGGGCTCTGTCTACTTTATAATAACACGGGAGGTTTAGTAAGCTTGCTTCTAGGAGTGGATGCACACTGCCCCTGATTCACAGCATGCACAGGCTGGCTAGCTGTCAGTTTTTTCCCATCTGCTTTTTACCTGGTGAAAAAAAAAAGTCTTTTAAATGGGCTACTGAGAGTGCACACAAAAGGCTCCAACAGAGAAACTCAATCACTGTTTTTCTTCCTTGGTAATGAGAAAGGCAAAAAACATTGCAAGTCTCTGGATGGGGAGACCTCCACTGAAAGACATCACATGCCTCTAGTACCAGCACCGCTGTTGCTTCTGTCCTTGTATGTTTTCTGTTTGCTGGTCTTAGGTGAATCAGTATTGGAGATGGAATGGAACAGACTTGATGTAGGAGCTAGCCCTGAGGAGTAACGTTCCTGACCCTTTCCCACAGTGGATTGATCCTGCAGCTGGGTCGCTGTGCCCTGTAAGCAGGGGCAACTTTTCCATCATCTATACCGCACTTGGGAATGACCTCAGGGATAGAAATGTTTTGTAGTTACCACTTTAAGCTTTATCTTATTCTTCCCAGGGCCTGCGGGGATGTGTTGAAGGGAGAGCATGCCCCCAGTTTTGGAGGCAGTTGTGTTTGCTATATCTTTTCAGTAAATATCCCTTTCTTATTAAAAATAATTAATGATATCAGTTGTATCTGGTGATATCTAGGAGATATCAGTGGGTTAAATGATATTAAATGAGTTGGCAGTAGACAAAGTCCCCTGCACATGTTCTCAGGAGTGGCCAATAGATTTCCATTGTCTTGTCCTCCTGTATTTCCTTGTGTTGACTTTTGATCTAGAGGAGAAATTCTTAAACATTTTTGTGTCATGGATTCCTTTGACAATCTGGTATTGTCTCTCCCATAGAAGTGAGCTCCTTGAGAACTAATCTCTGGTGATAACAGGAGAACATACGGGATGGGGAGGTGGTAAACCGTACAAGCTGGTATAAGAACCCCATGGCATCCAAGCATACCCCTAAGGGGGTGATATAAGAAGCCATATTTAGAGACTGAAAGTGCCACTGAACTTTGGTGAGGAAGTCCAGAATCTCAATGTAAAAATCAAGTAAGAAGGCACCGAAACCCTTTTCCTTCTAGATTTCTCAAAGAGAAATTTATTACTTCTCTTCAAAGTATAGGAATCATGATGATTTCATACTTAAATCTTCTAATTGTACATATTTTATTAATCATTTCAGGGTGAGCAAATGCCCAGTTGCAGTAAATGAGTATCTTATTTAAAATATTTTATTCATTCTTCACTATTCACTCTTCATACTAGCACAACTTAAAAGTTTTCAAATATTTTTATTTTTTGAAAAAAACGTAAAAATGTCCTTGGGGGAAAAAGAGAAAAATTGTTAATTCTCATCCCCTCTTCCCCATAGGCAATTGTATAACAATAACAACAACAATGTTAATAATGATAATAATAATAATAATAGCTAAAATTTATATGAAATTAACACATATTACATCATTTGGGCCCCCAGCAATAGTGTGAGATAGGTCACTCCATTTTGCAGATGAGGAAGCTGAGACTGTGAGAAGTTAGGTTAATTGAACTTGGTCAAACATCTAATAAGTGTCAGAGGGGAAATTTGAACTGAAGTTTACCTGAATCCAGTAAGCCACACTGACTGTCTTTATTCCTGACCCCAGTTTTCTTAAAGCTTCCTGGTGTCTTCCTGAAGTAATAAAGAGGGTATCCTTAGATTTGTTCCTTGTTAATGTTATGACACATTAACAACCTGCATTGATCATGGTGGCTTGTTGGCTGAAGGAAAAAAGGAAGAAGGCAAAAGTAGAGGATGAAAAGGAGAAAGGCAAGTGATGGTAACAGCAACAGCAGGAGGTAGAAAAACAAAGGTGAGTAGAAATGGCAGCATTGGAGGTCTCTGGTCAAAGATGGCTGGGCATCTATGGTGGAAAGGCAGTGGTGGCACATCTGGGTTGCCTGTGGGGCACCAAAGCAAGTATATGAGACTTGGGGAGCCTTGACAGGATCAACTTGCATCCAGATGTATACTTGTTACTGTGTTCAGAGCTATGATAATCAACCCTGCCCTTCTTAGAATTGGGAGTTTGTCCGGTTATTTCAGAAATCATTTTGAAACTATGCCCCAAGAGTTAACCTCCATTTTACTACTACTAGGCCTAGACACTAAATAAAGAAAGAGAAAAATACCTATGTCTACACACACACACACACACACACATATACATACATACATATATGTGTGTGTGTGTATATATATATTATATATATATTTTATATATATATATATATCAGTTTTTGTTTGGAAACTGAGAGGATACCCATCATTTGGGAAATGGCTGAACAAATTACGACATATGAATGTGATGGAATTCTATTGTGCTGTAAGAAACAATGAAAGATTTCATAGAAACCAGAGAAGGTTTGTATGAACTGCTGCAGAGTGAAGTAAGCAGAACCAGCAGAACAATTTATACTACAATCACAACCATAGCAAGTGAAAAACTCTGAAAGGCTTAAGAACTCTGAGCAACCCAAACATCAACAGATTCCAGAGGACCTATGAAGAACGCTGCCCATCTCTTTACAGAAAGGTGATGAGACACGTTTTTGGACGTGAAGAAATTCGTTTTGCTTGACAAAGCATATTTGCTAGAATTCTTTCCCTGTCCCCTTGGGAAAGGGCAATGGGAAGGAGAGAAAATAACCAAAAGCTGATAGTTTTGAAAAGGTAACAAGACTCCTGTTACATCAGAAATAACAGCTTAGGCTTCTCCTGAGAATGCATAAAAGCTGCCAGATTATTTCTGTTACTCAGTGTTCTGCCTGTCTGTCTTCCTCTATGTGTCTTGGTCTCTGTCTCTGTCTGTGTCGCTCTCTTTTTCTTTTTCTCTCTCTCTCCATGGTGTCACTGTAGAAGTTTCAGAGACTGCTCTCCTTGTAGCTGCATGATGTGATTTTATATAATAATAAAATTGTGCCTCTAATGGATGATACTAAATCCAATGTGAAGTTCTTTTTATTTCAACAATAATTATATCTCTCATAATATTTTGCTTTTCTTTTCTTGCCTTTATTTTGTTCTGCAAGGAAGTCTGGATTTATTATTAAAAATGCTATATGTGTAATGTTTTATAGGCTATGAAACACCTTAACGTATTCTGTCTCATTTAAACCTCATTGTAACTCTGTGAAGTAGGCAGAGCAGAGTAGGGATTGCCCCACTATGCAGATGAGGAAATCAAGGAACACAGAAGTCAAGGAGTTTGTCAAAGGTCACAGATTTACCAAATGGAAATCAGTATGTGAACTCAGGTGTCAGCTGGGTGCCCTTTCCACTATGCCATATAATTTTTATTTAATCAGTAATCAAATATCACCCCTGCAGTTTTTCTATACCACCTTCATTTCCTAAGTAACAGAGACCTCCCTCTCTTTGGATGTTAATCCTTAAACAATTCTGTTTTGACACGAGTCTATATGGTTGTTCTACTGGTTACAAATGTATCTAACTTTACTACCATCCACTTTACATTCTTCTATCTTGTTCACACAAAAAAAGAAAAACTTTACTAAGTACCTAAAATCAAGATGTAATGTCAAAGCATTCTTCCAATTTGCCAGCCCTATAAAAAAAAGTGGGATTATTTTGGTGTTACTTTTCTTGATGGCTGCCTGTTTTTTCCCCAAGTGGTCAAAATCATCCATTTAACCATCCTAGAATCTTTTTTTCCCCTTTAGGCAGTTGGGGTTAAGTCACTTGCCCAGGGTTACACAGCTAGTAAGTGTCAAGTGTTTGGTCTGAGGATAGATTTGAACTCAGTTCCTTCTGACTCCAGGCTGACTCTATTCACTGTGCCACCTAGCCGCCCTTAGCCATCCGAGAATCTTGCAAGGAATAAACCTTTTTAAAATTGCTCATTTGTAGATTCAGTTATTTAACTTTTTTATCTTTTTGAAAATAGGAAAGTTTCAAGTTTTTCAGGTCTACTGGAACTTTTCCAGTTATTTATGCTTTCTTAACGTGGAGAATGAAAGAGGTTACTCATATTAATTTAGTAACTACGTATTCAATTGATTTCAGCACCCTTAGATCAGAGGTTCTTAACCTGGGGTCTGTAAATTGTTTTTTAAAAAATATTTTGAGAATAATTTTTCAATATAATTTGTTTTCTTCATACTCATAATATTTTATTTTATATATCTAAAAAACATTATCCTGAGAAGGGTTCCATAGGCTTCACTAGACTGCCAAAGGGCTCTATAGGTTAAATACTCTAAATGTGATTCATTTAGGCCCCAACACTTGAGACTCATTTACTATAATATTAGTTTGTATTTAAATAGCAACTGAATCTTGGCATCTTCACTATGAATGAAATTAGAAGACAATATTAAGCTAAAGTTAAGTGGAAGGATAACTCACAGGTTTTTTATAGAGAAGTAAATTTAAAGGAAGTGGCAGGTTGTTTTTATTGTGTGTCCAAAGGCAACTGAAAACATCATATCATGAAACACTTAATCATCATGTGTTGTAGGGCTCATGATAGACATTTGCAAAAAAGACTGCCAATAAAATAATTGCTACCTATATGCCAACACATTTCCTAGGATGAGGAGGCAGAGAAACTCTATGAAGAATCTGACCCTCAAAATTAAATCAACATAGCTGTAAAACTTGATGAGTTCTATGCAAAGGTGGACATAGCTATGGATGGCAAAAAAAATAACCCCCAAATGTATACAGACATACATATATGTGTATTTTGTGAAATATATATATATATATATATATATATATGTATATATATATATACATATACACACACACACACACACACGTATGTATTTTCAGTGTCTCTCTATAGCAAAATATAGTTTACAAGATAGAAAAGAAAGAGGATAAAGAATTTTAGAGTATAGAGAAGTCATACTTACAGATCATAAATACTTTCTTCATGAAGAGAGTTGGGAAGCACTGAATCCTAAATAATGTCCTGAGAAATGAAACTGGCTCTATTTTAATACATGGGCAGCTAGGTGGTGCAGTGAATAGTGCACCTAGGCCTGGAGTCACAAAGACCTGAGTTCAAATCTGACTGCAGACACTTAGTAGCTGGGTGACCCTGAATGAGTCACTTAATCCTGTTTGCCTCAGTTTCCTCACTTGTAAAATGAGCTGGAGAAGGAAACATCAAACCACTCTGGTATCTTTGCCAAGAAAACCCCCTATGGGGTCATGAAGAGTTGGACAGGACTAAACAACTGAACACATATTTTAATATGAAGGAAACTACTGCTTATTGATGTGGGTCCTTTTGGAATTGGCTTTCTGTATACAGTCAGGCAATTGACTTGTTAAAGCAAAGATCAAAATCAATATCAGATTAAAAGAACAAACAAAAGAAGACAGTGTACAACTGGCAAAAAAAAGTGAGAAATGGGAAAAAACAACACATATTTACAAAGACTTTCACAATTTTTCTTTTTTGGTGGGCAATTGGGGTTAAGTGATTTGCCCAGGGTCATACAGCTAGTGAGTATCATGTGTCTGAGGATGGATTTGAACTCAGGTTCTCCTGACTCCAGGGCTGGTGCTCTATCCACTGCGTCACCTAGCTGCCCCAACTTTCACCATTTTTTAAGGTAGTTTGAGTGATAAAGGTTAATAACAATGATGAGAACAAACTTACTTAGAACTTGCATCAGTGAGCAAACGTTTGACCTCCTTGACAAATGTAGAAATATTGCAAAGAATGGAAAAATGTACAGTAGAGGATGGTGTAGGATTATAAGCAGTGTTCCCTAACAGAGCAGCAAGTAGTGGAGGGCAAAATCCATTTTCAGAAAGCTTGGCAACAAATTCAAGTAAGCCAGAAAGTCTGAAAGACATTTGAGGATAAAATTGGAAGGAGGGTAATTAACAGCTGAAAAACAGAAACTATCTGTAAAGGTTTCTGCCACAAATCTATTCCCTTTCCCCCATCAATGACAATGGAATCAATACCTTCTGATTTCAATACCATGATTTCTAATATGTGTTATCAGTAATTAGAAATGACACAATGGGAAAAAAAGGTAGGAAAAGCATCTAAAGTAGACCAACAGAGAGTCTGTGTTGGAGGCAACACAGTTTTGAGGATATTGAAGGAGAAGTCCTTAAGATATCTGAAAGAAAAAAGGAAATCAAATGCTTGGGAAAAAATCAGGGACCTTATTATTACGGATAAAGTCATTAAGAAAACACTAGTAGATGTTCCTGAATGGACCAATGATATCAAAGCCTGCATCCCATAGTTTCAAGTCAACCCAAGCACATGGGCTTTCCTCCTTCATATGTTTCCTTGCCAAGTTTCTGGGTATGGCATGTTCCTCCACAGAAGCTGAATATATTGGAAGAAAAGTGTTACCCAAGTTTATATATGGTTGTAATATATATTACTATTATTGCATTTGGTTTACTATATAAGTTCCTGTGATGTTGTTTCTTTTGCCTTATTGCTAAGTAAATGGGTATTCTTAAGAAAAAAAAGAAAAGAAAACACTAGTAACCTCTGACCATAGGGGCATATATGCCTCCTTTCTTGTCTTTAGGAGGGTGAACATAGAATATATGGAGAGAATCCTTGATAAAAGTATGAGAAGGGATTAGGCAGCCTTTACAATATGACATTTTCTGGCATAATGCACTTTACAATCACACAACTGACTGAAAAATTCAGGGAATTATGATCTCTCACTTTGACTATTTTGATAGCCTCCTACTTCATCTTTCTTCC